ACTGCTCTGGCGCGGCGGCGGCCTGGTCGACGCCGCGGGCGGCGGCCTGGCGCACCCCGCACAGCGGGCTGGACGCCTGCGCCACCCCGCGCCGATCGGCGGCCCTTGGATGCCTCGCGGGCCTTCGTGGGGTCCTCTTGGGCTATCTTGGGGCCCTCGTGGGGGCCTCTTGGGCCGTCTTGGGGCCACCGTTGAGGCTTTTCTGAGCCGTCCTGAGCCGACAGACGCCCGAAAAGGCGAGAGTGCGAAACTCATGGAACAGCCTATGATCTTGGCTTCTTCGGACTCTGTTGGAGGTCCTCTTGTGGCCCCTTTGCCCTCTTGAAGGCATCCTGGGGAGTCTTGAGGCAATCTTCGGGCCATCTTTGGCCGTCTTCGAGGCGTTTTGGGCCATCCTGGTGTCCGTGGTTGCCTGCATGGACCGTCTTGGAAGCTCGGGACGCGGACACACAGTCATTTTACGATGGATCGTGGCTTCGCGAGCGCGGATGCACTATTTTTCTACGTGGGATAGTGGCCTCGGGAGTGGGGGGAGATGCACGCCGCGGGATGCGGGTAGCGGGGGTTCCATACAGAAACCTCACCAGACAGCACTTGGCATCCTACCACATCTCAACGTGCCAGGTGGCATGGTGGCGGATCCGTGCTTGTGCGAAGCCACAGGCATAAGACATAGACTTGCCACGCCATCAATAGAGTCATCAGCAGGGGCATCCGTCGGGGTGGTGGACTTTCTTTGATCGGCGGGAGCCTTGCATTGAGCTATTTGGGGAAGCTTAGTCTTGGCTCTGCTTCGATGATTAAGGTTCGCTGGGCAACTGTCGTTCGAGACAATTTGCGAAGATGGCCGGACTGGAAAAACCATCCTTGCGCGGCTTGCGAGTCGATTTCATGCCTCTTCTGGTGGGTGGCGTTAGACTTGTCAGCGCCACTTCTCGAGATCCACAGAACAACGGCGCTGGGAGGGGTGGGGTGGCGTTGTCGAGCGCCTGCGCACCGAGGGCGCCAGGGGCACCACGCGACCTCACAGGTACCCTCCCCTTCCAGGCCCCAGGGGGACGATCCCAGAGGCCCTCGGGGCTCCCGAGGTGGCTCCATCGTGCGTGAGCGTGTCCCGATACGGCGCGCCACCCGGCTCCCGAGCCCGCGTTCGGACCGACCCTTCCGCGCTGCGACGCAGAATTTCCGGACGTGGCACGGAGAACTCCAAGAGAGCCCACGAGGCTTCGAGATTACCCCAAACAGGGCCCCTCTGGCCTACAAGAAAGCCTCAAGAGGACCCCTGGTCTGCCAGCATCCGTCGGATATCTGAGGCGTTCCCGGTGCTCTGACTGCTTGTTGGATTCGTTTTTTCGCTCAGGATGGCCCCCCAGAGGGCTTCGGAGGGACCCACGGGGCACCCACAGCGCTTCCCGTGGATGCCGAAGAGGGAGGGACGCGAGGGCTCCGAGGGCTCCGGGAGCGCGGCGCACGAGGGCCCCAGGCCAGCTCTAGACGATCACAAGGATCCCAAGACGGTGGCCTCACGACGGCTCAAGACACGCCAATGGAGCGCAACATGGCCTCAGCACCGTACCAGGAGGCCACAGAAGGGGCCTCAAGAGGAGCCCCACACGGCCCCACGAGAGGGCCACAAGAGCGTCGCGATGCCGAGAGTCTCTTCATCCGCCAGCCACGCTGCCTTCCCTGCCGCCTCCTCCTCCCCGCCTCCCCACTCTCCGTCCTGTATCCTCGGTGATCCTCCTCCCCTCCTCCCTCCCCTCTTCGACTTTCTTCTTCCCACCTCACTCCCTCGTCTGAGCGCTTCCCTTTTACCATCACCCTCGTTCCCTCTCCTGCCCTCGCCGTCTTCGCCTTGTTCCTCCTGCGCCCTCCCTCCCCCTAGCCCCTCCTTTCTCCCACCTGGCTCCTCCGTCCTTTCTCATTCCTGCCCCCTCCCTCCTGCCTGTCTCCTTCGCCCCCTTCTCTTCCTTTCCGCCTCCTCCCTCCGTTTGTTTGCCCTCCCTCTTGATCTGACCACTAACCCTACTGCGAGTAGAGCAACGAACGCGTTGGCTTCGACACCCACGGTTCCCATTATTCAGCCACTGCTCCTCTTCATGCTTTGCGCTGGGCTCAGCGGCTACCTTGAGCGTGCGCGAAGCATCCGCGATGGCCCCAGTGCCTCATGCAAGTGGCGATGGGGTCCTCCCCTGCCCAGCGGCGGCCCGCTCTCTCAAGACTTCCCGCCCTGCCCTCTGACCTGTCCCGCACCCCGCTGGAGTCAAGTCGGGCATATCCCTCTACAGGAGGAATCTCCGAGCATAGTCTAAAAATAGTCGATGGACGATGTTTCGACTATCTTTTTGATTATTTTTGAGCGTTTTTGATTATTGTGAAGGCCTGACGGCTGGTGCCGCCGACCCTGAAAGACATCGACGACGACCAGGAGGGGGAGGAGGAGGAGGGGGAGGAGGAGGAGGAGGAGGAGGAGGAGGAGGATGAGGAGGAGGAGGAGGAGGAGGCGGAGATTAGGAGGGAGGAGGAGGAGGAGGAGGAGGAGGAGAGGAGGAGGAGGAGGAGGAGGAGGTTTGAGCAATCTTGACAATTCTTGATTTTCTTCCAAACTCCGCCTGCAGGAGGACCTGCCTGACCTCACGCCGGAGCCCCCGCAGGGGCGCAGCAGCGCGGCGACGCCCTGCGGCGCGCCCGGCGGCGCCCGTCGGGGGGCGACGCCTCGAACCCCCGCGGCGCCGCGGCTTCCCCTCCTTCCTCCCTTCCTCCTCCATTCCTCCTCCTCCCTCCTCCTCCCTCCTTCTCCCTCCTCCTCCGCCTCCTGCTCCGTGTCCTCCTCCTCCTCCTCCTCCTCCTCCTCCTCCTCCGCTTCCTCCTCCTTTTCCTCCTCTTCCTCGTCCTCCTCCTCCTCCGCCCTCTGGGCGCCCAGAGGAGGGCCGGGAGGCGACGAGGGACAAGCGACGGGAGCCTCGAGACGGGGCCAATGCAAGCGGGGGTCAGGCCGAGCGCCGGGTCCTGCAGGATCCTGCAGAGCCAGGGTCGCACTGACCCGGGTCTGGGCGCAGGATCCTGCAGGATCCTGCAGGATCATCGATTGACCCGGGTCAGAAGATCCTCGAAAGCGACGGAAGCGCTGGAGGCGGAAGGAGCGGCGGCTTCCTGGGCCCTGGGCGCGGTAGGGCAGTCTCTGCTGCCCTGTTCCGTTCTGCAGTTCGTGCTGCCGGTTCCGGCGCCGTTTTGTTTGTTTGTTTCTTCCCCTTTTTCGACGCCGTTTTTCCTAGTTCTGGTTCCCGCTCCAATCCCGGCGCCGTTCTTCTTTTGTTTCCCGGAGTTTTTGTTTGTTTGTTGTTGTTGTTGTGTTCCATAGGCACGTTTTGTTTGGCTTGTTTTTGTGCTAGTTATTGCTTTTTTGTTTGTTTGTGTGGAAGCGGCAAAGAGACGGCCCTGCTGTTTTTCTGGTGCCCGCCAAGAGCGTCGGGTGCCGCGTTCAGGACGGGGGCCCAGCGCAGGGGGGCAGGGATAGGCCGAGGAGAGGGGGGGGGGGCCTGCCTCCCCTTCTTTCCCCCTCTCCTGGGGGCCGCTTCGACTAGGGGAACGAAGAATGACGTAAACATAAAAACTCTGAGGTCCGCGCGGATTTCTCGGTTTGGCGCTGGACCCCCCTCCCTGGCGCTCGGAGCGCGCCAGGGGCGGCGCCGGAGGCGCCGCCAGCGGGGTCAAGCGCGGATCCGAGGAATCCGCGCGGACCTCCGAGTTTTATGTTTACGTCATTCTTCGCCCCCCTAGCTTCGACGGATCCGCGACACGATCTGGGAGCGGGTACGGTCCTTGCGGTGCTCGGGGCGCGCTGGCTCGCTGCATCTGCACCCCCAGCACGCTGGGCGAGAGGGGTCGGAGCGATGTGTGTCTCGTGGCCTCCAACGCCCGCGCGCAGCAGCAGGCACGCGACGGCCCACGGAGCCCTCCGCCGAGCTGCCTGGTGTTAAGTCGGGCCTGTCCTCCTACAGGGGGATTTTCGACGACAAATAAACAAATACCCCCAAAATAGTCAGAAAATAGTCCAGAACTAGTCTGGGGATTATTTTTTGAGTTTTTTTTTTTTTTTTTTTTGTTGTTGTTGGTATTTTTTGGTGTCTTGTTACCTGACAGCGAAGACTGATACGTTTCTAATGGGGTCAAAAGAGAGCATCTGATGACTCCCCAGGGGGTCTGGGCGGGAGCCGGACAGGCGAGGGCCGGGCTGGTTTTAAGCAAACAGTCACACACTTCGTGCTCTTCGACCTCCCAGAACTCCATTCCCGGGCCACATTTTGAATGCCCGGAGCCAACTGTAGGCCACTTCGTGCTCTTCGACTTCCCAGAGCTCCATTCCCGGGCCACATTTTGGATGCCCGGAGCCAACTGTAGGCCACTTCGTGCTCTTCGAGTTCCCAGAACTCCATTCCCGGGCCACATTTTGGATGCCCGGAGCCAACTGTAGGCCACTTCGTGCTCTTGGACTTCCCAGAACACCATTCCCGGGCCACATTGTGAATGCCCGGAGCCAATTTCAGGCCACTTCGTGCTCTTCCACTTCCCAGAACTCCACTCCCGGGCCACATTTTGAATGCCCGGAGCCAACTGTACGCCACTTCGTGTTTTTCCACTTCCCAGACTTCCAAGACTCATCATTTTCATCATCTTCATCTGCAACTACTGGCAGTGCCACTGCGACTGCCGCTGATGTTGCCACTGCGACTGCCACTGCGAATCCGAATGCGACTGCGAGAACACCAGAATTCTACAACAGCACTCTTACATGAATACCACAGGCAATGTTTCCAGCTATGCTTCTACACATCGCTGTTAGGTTGCTTTGCCGGGATAATTAAATTTTTCGTCGAAAATCGCCCTGTATGGGGGACAGGCCCGACTTAACCCTGGTGCTCAGGCCAGACAGGCTACGGACGGAGACGGAGGATGCAGCCGCACCGTGCGCCCCCTCCCTGCGGACTGCGCTCCGGCGCAGGCGTTTGCCGCGGCCGAGGCCTCCAGGGCGCACCCCTGCCCACCCGCATGGCGGCGGGGCGCTGAGCCGGGGCGCCCTCGGCAGCCGGCGGGTCGCTTCCCGAGGCCGGGACCCCCCGGAGCCGCGGGGGCGCGGCCTGCGGCGGCTACATGGCGTGCTGCGGAGGGGCGGCGGGGCCGGGCGGCGCCAGTCGTTTTTCACTGTGCTGTGCGGGCCTGATGGCCCGTGCTGCCGACCCTGAAGGCAGGACCTCCCCGGGGACTCCCCGTTGGGGCGGCACTCTGACCCGGGACCACCCTCCCCCGCCACAGACGTGGGGAGGGGGTATGGCCAGGACCTCGGTCAAGGGGAGCCGGTCAGTAATTGGGCCCCGAAGTCCGAAATATGGATGGGAATTGCTGAACCAGGTCTGCCGTAGCTGGTGCTTTTTTCGAGTGACGGCAGTTCCCGTGAGTGGAATGGGGCGGGGGGGGTGTCCCTTGGTACACGTCACTACACCAGGTCCCACTAATCCCAGTCCCGCCAACGCCGCCAACGCCCAAGGGGGGCCAGGCGGCGCCAATTGTTTTTTGTCATAATTTTCCAGAGGAGGGACTGCGCTTCGGGGCTCTTGCTCATCTCTCTAAGGAGTTTGTTGGTACGTCGAGGATTCGCCACGCTGCCGCCCGTTGCCGCCTCGAGGGGTACTTCGAGGACTCGCCACGCTGCCGCCCCTTGCCGCTCGCTGTTTCCTCGTGGGCTATGTCGAGGATCCGCCACGTTGCCACCCGTTGCCGCTCGTTGCCATCTCGGGGGATATGTCGAGGATTCGCCACGTTGCCGCCCGTTGCCGCTTGCTGCCGCCTCTGGCTTGCACCACATCGCTCACACCAAATAGCTCGCACCACACATACTATACAGCCGCAGTGCGATTTCTTCCTGTTTGGGGTCCTCGCTGGCCAACATTGTTTGAGTTCGTATCTTTGAGGAATGATTATTATTGATCTCCCCTGTCAGGCGCGCTATGTCTTTCCCAGTTAAAGTGCTCCAATGGGGCTTGCATCCTGCTTTCTTGTCAATGAGGGTCTTCGTGCTGAAACTGCATTGTTGGCTCCCGGATTACGATAGCAACGTCTCCAGTTTGAGACTGCTTCGTAATTTATCCGTAAGGGCTTCGCCCCCTGCCGCCGGCCCCCTCTCTCGGAGAATGGGCCATGGAAGAGCTAAGTCATGAGGCCTTGGCGCTGTTGTGAAGCAGTATCGAAACTTCATGCGAAGCCGAACGCAATCAGCAAAACCAACTGATCACAAGAGGGGTTACCGCACCTGGCGATTGGTAAGACGTGTATGGTGTACGGGCTTGGTTACCACACCTTGCGATTAAAGGGCCGAGGGAGTTCTCGCAGTTTGGGTTACCACGCCTTGCAATGGATGTGCGTGAAGGGTGGCACCGAATTTCAGAAATGTGCCAAATCCCGTGTGTTTTTGGACCCTGACCACGCGGATCTGCGTAAGGGGTGGCGCCGAATGTCAGAAAGGTGGCAAATCCCCGTGTTTTTGGACCCTGACGCCGCGGATCTGCGTGAGGGGTGGCACCGAATTTCAGACATGTGGCAAATCCTCTGTGTTTTTGGACCCTGACCCCGCGGATGTGCGTGAGGGGTGGCACCGAATTTCAGGAATGTGGCAAATCCCTTATGTTTTTGGACCCTGACCGCGCGGATGTGCGTGAGGGGTTGGACCGAATTTCAGAAATGTGGCAAATCCCGTGTGTTTTTGGACCCTGACCCCGCGGATCTGCGTGAGGGGTGGCACCGAATTTCAGACATGTGGCAAATCCCATTTATTTTTGGACCCTGACCCCGCGGATGTGCGTGAGGGGTGGCACCGAATTTCAGCACTGTAGCAAATCCCGTGTTTTTGGACCCTGACCCCGCGGATGTGCGTGAGGGGTGGCACCGAATTTCAGAAATGTGGCAAATCCCGTATGTTTTTGGACCCTGACCCTGCGGATCTGCGTGAGGGGTGGCACCGAATTTCAGAAATGTAGCAAATCCCCTGTGTTTTTGGACCCTGACCTCGCGGATCTGCGTGAGGGGTGGCACCGAATTTCAGAAATGTAGCAAATCCCCTGTGTTTTTGGACCCTGACCCCGCGGATCTGCGTGAGGGGTGTTGATTTCGAGCCCCCCCAGCAATTCAGACAACGCGCCCAGGGGACGCTAAGAATCCCGTTTGGGCCTCCCCCCCCCTCGCGCTGTCAATCAACTAGTTACAGTAACCAGCAAGAAGTCAACTAGTTACAGCAACCAGCAAGAAGCAGAACTGTAACACTGGAAACTACAAACTACAACTGGTACAGGAAGCTGCGAATCACGCGCCTCGCAGCCTGGTGGCCCCACAAGGGGGCCGGCGGATTCAGGGATCGCGCTTTCTCTCAGGACTTGCTGACGATTCACTCTGGAATCGCGCTCTCGCCTGTGGTTTCTTTGCAATCTGGCGCCGCGCTCTGGATGCCCAGGAGCCGCGCTCTCGCGCGAGACGTTCTTGTAATTCTTGACGCTTCGCGAATCCCCACCAGCCCACATTGGCGACTCACTCCAACGGCCATCACGTCTTCACCAAGCACGAAAGACTTGCCCATCGTGGTCCGCGTCCCCTCTGTGCGGGTTGTGCCTTGGCCGCTTGAATTCCGCGACATTTTGTCCAGTGCACGTGCCCGAGCTTGCAGTGCGCCGATCAGTTCAGCTTCACCCGTCAGCCCGTGGGCCGGCCGGCCTGCGCCTGTCTTTGCTAATTCGAATTCGCCTAGTTCGCGTCCCGGACTTTGCTTTCGCCGCCTGGCCGTCGTCTCGCGGCCGCGACCGAAAAATAATCCCCACCAGCCCATCCAGAGAAAGATCGCGAGGCGAGTTGCCTTGATGAGGGAAGTGTAGGAGCATGCAGTTTAACAACTGCCTTGGAAGCGTTTTCTCGGAGGTCGCTGGGAGCCATCTTGGGGCTCTCTTGGGGTCCTCGCGGAGCCTCTTGGGCCCTTTTGAGGGGGTCTTGGGGCCCTCTTGGGACCCTGGCGGGTCTGGGAGGTTTCTTGTGGCCATCTAGGTTTCCATTGTTCAAAAAGGGAGGGGGTTCTCAATTCGGCCCTCCTCCCTCGGAGGGTCCAAAATGTCATCTCGGGGCCCTCTTGTGTCGCTCCCGGAGCGTTCTGTGGGAGCAGGAGAACTTTTGAGGTGCCGAAATGAATTTTCCGACTCCTCATCGGGGAGTCGGGGAGTCGGCCAGTCGGCCAGTCGGGGAGTCGGCCAGTCGGCCAGTCGGCCAGTCGGGGAGTCGGCCAGTCGGGGAGTCGGGGAGTCGGGGAGTCGGCCAATCGGCCAGTCGGCCAGTCGGCTCGTCGGCCAGTCGGGGAGTCGGGGAGTCGGCCAGTCGGCCAGTCGGCCAGTCGGGGAGTCGGCCAGTCGGGGAGTCGGGGGGTCGGCCAGTCGGCTAGTCGGCCAATTGGCCAGTCGGGGGGTCGGGGAGTCGGGGAGTCCGCCAGTCGGCCAGTCGGGGACTCGGCCAGTCGGCCGGTCGGCCAGTCGGGGAGTCGGCCAGTCGGGGAGTCGGGGAGTCGAGGAGTAGGGGAAGCGGCCAGTCGGCCAGTCGGCCAGTCGGGGAGTCGGGGAGACAGGGAGACGGGGAGTCGGCCAGTCGGCCAGTCGGCCAGTCGGGGAGTCGGCCAGTCGGCCAGTCGGGGATTCGGGGAGTTTTTTTTTTTTTTTTTTTTTTTTTTTTTTTTTTTTTTTTTTTTTTTTTTTTTTTTTTTTTTTTTTTTTTTTTTTTTTTTTTTTTTTTTTTTCCGGGGTTTTCCCCCCGCTTGGACTAGTATACATATAGGAAGACTAGTATACATATAGGAAGAGGGGTCTATATATGTATATGTATATATGTATATGTATATGTATATATATATATATATATATATATATATATATGTATACCAGACTGCAGTGGCGCTTCGCGCCATGCACCTTGGTCCTTGAATATTGGTATGCAGGCGGAAATGGCAGGAAGGTCAAGCGGACAATTTAGCGATAATTCCTTGCTGCCTTTTCTGGCATAGCCATTATAAGAATGTTGTTCGTTATCCTTCCTCCATGCTTGCCGTTCCTCATTCTCGCCATACCCTGGGCATTCTCCTCATCCTCCTCAGCTCTTTTTGCGGAGGCTCCTCCTTGGAGGGCCTTTGGGGGCCTCACCAAAGTTCTCAGGCTTTCTTCAAGCCTTTTGGAGGCCTCCTGGGCGTATTCTGGGGGCCTCTGGAGCTTCCTAAGGCCAGCCTGCCTCTAACCGCGGTCTCCCTGAACGCCCCAGTCACAATTTGGAATGCTTCGGAGGGTGTCTTGGGGCAATCTTGGGCTGCCATGGGGCTCTCTTAGGGCCATTTTGGACCCCTGTTGGGCCGTTTTGGGGTTCTCTTGGACTGCCTGGAAACCCTTTCGGATGGTTGTGGGGCGATTTTGAAGCCTCCCAGGCGACTTCGGACGCCCAGGAGACCGCTGTCTTGGAGAGTCGGGAAGCCGAAAAGAGGAGAACCTTAAATTCACCAGAAACCTACATTAAATCAATTATGTTTTCCTCTTGGGGCCTTCTTGGGGGTGCTCTTGGAGGCCTCTTGGTACGTTTCGGAAAGATCATTCGGGGTATGACGGCTTCTTGGAGCGCTCTTGTGCTGTCTTGGGGTTCTCAGGGACGTTTCCGATGACCCCCCTGATCGCCCTAGGTGTGCTGCGAAGGCTTGGCAAAACGCCCTGCGAGGCCCTGGGGGCCGCTTGGAGGCCCGCCCGAAGGGTCCCAACCCCCCAGATCCCGGGGGTCTTTTTTTGTTGTCTGTATTTTCTTTTCTTTTCTTTTCTTTTCTTTTCTTTTATTTTCTTTTCTTTTCTTTTCTTTTCTTTTCCTTTCCTTTCCTTTCCTTTCTTTTCCTTTCTTTTCTTTTCTTTTCTTTTCTTTTCTTTTCTTTTCTTTTCTTTTCTTTTCTTTTCTTTTCTTTTCTTTTCTTTTCTTTTCTTTTCTTTTCTTTTCTTTTCTTTTCTTTTTCTTTTCTTTTCTTTTCTTTTGTTCTTTTCTTTTCTTTTCTTTCTGTTTATTTTCTTTTCTTTTCTTTGTATTCTTTTGTTCTGTTCTGTTCCGTTCTGTTAGTTC